GAATAAGAGAGAAGTAAGGTACTATTAGAGCACAACCAAGAGCAACACACGACCATCATCGTCAAAAAACAAATCCCATTTCCATATACCAAAAAAAACGATACGCAACGCCCCTACGCGTTTCACCGCCTGCGTATACARCGGATCATCAGGAGGCACAAAAAACAACACCCAAAGGAACGGGATGCTATGACACCACACCAACACTCCTCTTATACTTACCGTACGCATCTCTCATCGGAACAGCCGAGTTCTCCCAACCACGACACTCTACCTCCCTCCTCCCCACCTGCTCTGCCTCCTAGATTTCCTTTCCCCCTTTTTTTCTTTTTCTTTTTTCTCTCTCCCGATTCATTCCCACTTCCTCTCCTCCCAACTCCCGTACTTCCCATATTCCTAATTTCCCCGGTCACAACAGCTTTCCCTACCCTTACCACCAAGCTGCGTGCACTCCCCGTCATCATCTGCTCTAGCAAGAGAGACAAAAAGAAAGTCGAAGAGAAACCCGCACTCCTCCCCCGCTCTCGACCTTCGTCTCGTCTGGCGCTTCGTACGATGCCCGTGTCAGCACAAAAAAAGCTCCCTGCAGCTTACTAAATCAACCTTCTCCCTTTCTCAAAAAGTTTGTGGCTCTGCTACTTCATACGTACTCACTCTCCATCTCCCTTTTCCCTTCCACGTCTCTGCCCTTCCTTCCGTCATCTACTCCCCAATCCCCGATACACCCTTAATAGTCATCTATACCAAAAAAATGAGTCTTTTTTCGTATTACCTGACCGATCGCAAGCGAATCGACCAGGATACCAAGCACGGCTACCTACCCTTCGCCTTCAAATTCCGTACCGCGCCTGGTCCCACCCGGTGATTTCCCCCGCAAAAAACTTTCCAATGCCGAACCTACTATACAGAAAAGACCAAGCGAAAATTGAGAAAATACAAAATAATTCTCATGCCCCTAAAAACCCATCAAGAACCCCCCAACTCCCTCATTATTTTACAATCCCCGAGGTCCCATGTATCTGATCAGCCCGGGGTACACGGTGGGAAGGTAAACCCCCCACGGACCCCCAGGCAGTGTGGCGAACCGAGCCAGAGCCCCGAGAGAGACCTCCAAGGGATATCCCCGGAGGTTAGCTTCGTACATCAAAGTCGCGATCGCAGCTTTCATGGCTTCGTCTGAACTCGAGATCCGTTTCATGCGTACCAAGATCGCATACAGAACGGCCCTCTTGGCTGCTTTCCTGGAGAATGACGCATAATCCTGCATTGACTGAATCTTCAATCCCTCATCCCGAAGCAAATATTCTTGATTCCTTGTCCGCGGATGAACGCTGATTTCCACCGGTTCTACACCGGCAAAGATGCGAGTCCCCAAAAAATCAAAGACATTCCCTCCTTCGCCTTTTCGAACCAGCTTAATGCTCTCGTCGTAGCAACTCTCAAACTCTTCCAGTATCAAAGACGCTGTTCTAAGGAGCTTGGTCGATCCTTCCGGCAGCCAACAAATATTGCCACATCATCGATCATCCTTAAGCCCCGAATAACCGCCCCTGAATCTTTCATTTGCTCCAAGAACGCGTACTCAGCATACGCGCACACGATACATGCGAGAGGAGGACTAGAGTTGCGACCCATCGGGATACCAAATTCTTGTACCAACACGTCACCGGCGCAGCAGATGAACGAGTGGGAAAGCTCAAACAATACCTCCCTCCTAATATCTTCAAAGGAAATGCATATGAATCCTTCCTCCTTCCATACTTTCCGAACCATGGAACACAACTTACCTCTGGTGCTCATTTTGACCCCTACCAGGCCCTTCCTCCTATGGTAACTGATCAGCCAATCCACGGCGTTCATCACACTCTCATGTGACAATCTCGCGAACATATCCTTGATGTTGTAACTTCGGGCGAGAACATAATCGCCCACGACACTCAAATCCCGCTGAATCACTCTCATCCGTTCGACCAAGCTGTCCGTGGACTTAAGATCAAAGTGCATGGAGCTCGGAATCCCAAACAGCATGTAGCTAACTGCTCGACCCGTTCTTGCTCCTGCCAACCGAGTAGGAGCGAAAGTGCATGGAGAAATAGGTCTCCACCTACCCAGATCCTTGTCTTTCGGCAATACGTATGCGTGGCCGATTCTTCCACCGGTCTGCCACCTACCAATCCTATCCAAGCCCTGGTAAAAAAATTCCTTCTTCATCTCAGCTACAATACCTGCACCTGACTCCTCCAAAACCCGAAAACTGCCATTTAGATTGAAAGTCTCTAGACATGCACGATAATAGAGTGTTGGGCATATCATAAGCGTGGCGCCTGGATTCCGATCAATCGGAACTGCTACCAAGCCCTCAAATCTCTGGAAATGCATCCTTACCTCATTCGTCGTCATGGCGGCACTCCTGTCGTCGCTCCTCTTGGCAAGACAACTCCCAAGGGTCTCGCACGACACATCGATCTTCTTCCCTTTCACCCAATCTTTCACACCCTCCATGATACATGCCAACAACGCCTCCGCTGAGATTAGCCTACTGCTCGTAACGTTCTTCGAGTTCCAGAGAAAACTCGGGACCGAATCAACCTCGTTCAGGCGTACCTTAACTTGATCATTAGTCCTTGGTAGAGGTAGATGAGCACATGTGCAGCGGGCCAAGGTGTTCTCGGCACACTCCCAGTGGTTATGAATCACCATTCCAACCGTGGTCCTTTTCTTCTCCACGACTCTTACCTTCCTGGCTATGAACCTGGCGAGATTCGGATCGACAACCGCTTGTAGGATCACCTCGGCCGCAGTCCTCCTCACCACTCCAAGTTTCAGTTGAGGAGAAAACGGAATCTTCACGCACGGTTTTCTTCTAATCTCATACCCATACTTGTTTCTTACTACTCGAGCAATGATACATTTCGTCCGATTCCTTCTCTTCTTGTTAGAGAACAGCTTAGTGGTTCGATAAAGTGATACAAGCTCCTTCGATCCCTTTTTGTACAACCCGCGTATCCTCCACGGCTGCCTAAGTACGTCCCTCAAAACGTATCTCCTGTGCTCAATGCTCGAAGAAAGAATTCTGATCCCTTCGACGCGGAAGGTTCCCCCCACCTCTAAATATCGCTTGCACTCCTTGATTGGTTTCTTCACATCCCCCACCCAGATTGTCGTCTCCCCGACCTTCTTCCTTACTACCTTCCACCTGTCGATCCACTTGATCCCACCTGATGACGCGATACACTGCGGAAGCCTTTCACGACTCGTCTCCCTGAGCAAATCAATTATCGATACTCTATTGTTGAACTTGATTATCACTCCCCCCTCATGGTTCGGCCTTCTCTTACCCCTTTCCCTTTTCCCCGCCCTCTTCTTCCTCCCTCGCCCACTTTCCCTACCCATACCTTGCGTATTAAGTGCCGGCGAGAATCTCTTGATGAAACTCGTCTCAACTACCAGGGGATCTCTGACCTGGTCAACCCGTGGAATGACTAAATACCTATGCCAACCAAAGACACGCAGCCACACATGGAGTTTCGGTGCGTTCCCGGGATCTCCCTGG